GAAGAAGAACAAGTATTGCTGTTACTTTGTTGATTTGTAGAGCATTGCCAAGGTCTTGTGCTCCTTTAGCACCGATTGAATTCGAATAGAGGTTGAGTGAGGTGAGCGTCTATGTGAATAAAGAAGTAAGGTAAAGAGGAAGAAGAGCAAGTATTGCTTTTACTTTGTTGATTTGTAGAGCATTAGCCAAGTCTTGTGCTCCTAGATCACGGATTTCATTATGTCCGAGGTCTAGTGTGATGAGTGTCTGTGTGAGAGGTATGTGAATGATTAAGTGTAATGAATAGGAAGAGAAACAAATATTTTTGTTACTTTGTTGATTTGTAAAGCATTGGCAAGATATTGTGCTCCTTTATAACGAATTCTATTCTGAATGAGGTTGAGTGTGGTCAGCGTCTATGTGAAAGGTGTTTGAATAATGAAGTGAAATGAAATGAAGAGGAACAAGTATTGTCGTTACTTTGTTGTATTGTAGAGCTATGGCCAGATCTTGCGCTCCTTTAGTACTGATTCCATTGTTTTCGAGGTTGAGTGTGGTGAGTGTCTGTGAATGATGAAACAAAGTGAAGAGGAAAAGAATCAATCATTGTTGTTACTTTGTTGATTTTTAGCGCATTAGCAAGATCTTGCGCTCCATTAGCACTAATTTGATTGTGTCCGAGGTTGAGTGTGGTCAGTGTCTATGTGGAAGGTATGTGAATGATGAAGTCACGTGAAGTGAAGAGGAAGAAGTGCAAGTATTGTTGTTACTTTGTTGAATTGTAGACCACTGGCAAAATATTTTGCTTCTTGAGCACCGAGTGTATTCTGACCGAGGTTGAGTGTGGTGAGTGTCTAGATGAAAAAGTTCACATAAAGACATGTTGTAAAGGAGAAGTGCATGCGAGTTACTGTGTTATATTGTAATGCATCACCCAGAAATTTTGCTTTAAGAAATCCGGCTGGATTCATCGAGAGATCGAGCGTGGTGAGTGTCTAGATGAAAAGGAGGAGGGAAAAACATAGTACAAATGAAGAGATAGAGTAGCTAGTGGGGTATTATATGTGGTTAGAATAGTGAAATTACTATTGTAGTGACGGGCTTGTTTGGCGTATGGATACAACTATGAGTTTTCATACGATTATTTATGCTGCGTAGTGTGAAATCATTTCTTTGGAAAATTCAAACTGAAAAGAAGTTACTAAGACTGAACGAGTGATAGAAAGTTTTTATCTATGTGATGCTTTATATTGTGAATGTTCGGGGGAAAGAAAAAATATTTTGGTTAAATAAAAGTATTTCGTACGCTAATCCTGTGGAAAAACAAGTGCGAAGAACAGTCTTATGTTTCGAGATGACAATGAATTGCAGTGAATGGTTTAGAGGGTGGTAAAGTATGATGCAGCGCTTGTTAGTATTCTGCAGATATGACGAAAGATAGTTTCGTATCGGTAGTCACTGGACAGTTTTCTTTTTATTCATTTTTCTGACTCGATATGTATTTCACATCAGAACTCTGTTTGAGTTATCGAACTTGGCCTATTTGATGTGTTTGAATTATATAAGTGAGAATATATATTAATTTCGATTATTGCTCTCGATGAAACTATACGGTTGTGTTCATGAAGCTACATTGCTTTATAAAAAGTGAGAAATAAGTTAAATACTTCATTCCATCATGTTAGACTCATTATGAGAAGAAGGCAAATGCTTGCTAAAACGTCATATAAGCAAATAGTGCTAACGAATTATTCTTCAAATTCCGTCTTTCATAAACTGTGCTCTGCATGAAATCCGTTCCAATGCAACGTTTTTTAGTAAAATAACTGGTTTAGAGGTAATATTCCTTGAAGAAATATTTTATCTTAGTAATATGAGTCTGATTGTTACTGTGAGTTAATTCTCTGCGTCTACAGCCAACGGTACCCTCAGTCGCACATGCTTTCGAAGGAGTATTTGTCGAAGCAAGGGGGAAAAAGCTGATTTAAATCAGTCAACAATCAAATTTAAATCAAATTAATCATTTTAAATCACAAAAATCACCTTTAATCACTTTTAATCACAAAAATCACCTTAAATCAATTTTAATCACTAAATCATAATCACTAAATCATAAATCGCTTTTCCCCCTTGTGTCGAAGATATTTCTTAAAAGAATCTCGACGAGGTTATTTATAACAAAATAAACTAGTTTATCGACGATTGATTTTTTTCGAAAGCTGATTTCTATTATCGAAATAATATTTTAAAAGAGAGGTGCTTACATACAGGTAAAATGCAAATAATAATGTTTTATCTCTTTTTATCGTTCTTATATAAACACTCTATGTTTATGATATCATAGCCAGTTTGAAACGTGGAATATTTAGATGAAATTGAATAGAAAGAAGAAAAGGAGCTGGGTTTTCTATTTATCAGGACACTATTTTTTATATTGTCATAATATAAGAAGTGAATTTTTAGGGAGAGAGGAATAGCTGATGAATTATTATGAGTAACAAATAGTTTATTCACGTATATTTTATTGAAGTCATTCTACTTGCATAGAGATTTTAGGAATGAAAAATAATTCGAGAGTTAATGGATAAAAACTAAGCGATCACGATAGAAAAAAGTTTACCTGATATCGATCGTAGCTGTCTACAATCGCATTGAACCGTTGACATACGTTTCTCATGGAGCACAGGATTGTAAGATCCGATTGCTGGTCCAGAATTCGGTAGACAAGCTCTACCGGTATTGTAAGGAAATTGGTGACTGCTTGATTTGCCATTGTAGATTGTTGAAGAAAAGTGTGCTTCGTAGCCTTATATGTTGGTTATATATACTGTTTGCTATCTTATCATTACATGAGTGAATATTTGTTTTCTATCATAGATTTTACATGATGTTGTAATTACTTGTTGAAAGAAAAAAAACGAAAAAGAATGATATCAACTAGAAAACGACAGAATCGAGATAACAACTGTAAGTGACGTTTTTGTTAAGATTGTTTTGTCGATATAAAATGGTATATAACAGACATGAATATTGCGCTCTCAATTATAAACAGCAAAGATTCAATGACTTTCTTTGTTATTTATTTTTGTATAAAATCTATATTGTTATTTGATTGTAAAATCAAATATACATATTTTGTAAGATAGTATAGAATTTGTTCTCATAATATAGAGTCAGACGTGTGAATTAGACAAAAAAAAGATCGTTAGTTTCATAGTTGACGAATTTTACTAAAATTTGATCTTTTGTTCGATAAATTTGTCTGAAATATTGAGGATATGGGTATACGTATGTTATTGTTATTATACTTGCACCCACACACACATTATCGGATGAATTTTTATATTGTTTAACTACTTAAACATATTTTTCGGCCTTCATTAACTATACAAGTAAATGATGTAGGTGTGAGTGGATGAGACATAATTCTAGCTATCATCCACCTACGCTCACTCCCTCACGATATTGTTCAAGTGAATAATGACTACGTTGACTAAATTTTATTATTTATTTATCAAGAAAATAAGATAGTTCCTATATTGTATAAAAATCTAAATTATTTAATTTTGTTGGAGTTTGACAACTTAAATGACGTTGCATTGCTATAGGAATTTGATTTGTTTCATTCAATTGATCATTTGATACATTAAGTGGATGATCAAGATCTGTTCCTTTAAATGTATTTCGTCGACTAGAGATCACATCATCGTCAGTTGAATACATACTTTTAAATTGTGGATTATTACGATATAATGTCGAAGATTCATAAGATATTAAATGATCTTTTGAACGATAAGGACGAACAGGATATGCTGTTCCATTACCATTTTGTTTTAAATGTACTAAAAATATATGCTTTATATTAGACTGATAAATTCGATTATATCGATCTAACAAGAATCTTTTGAACGTTCTTCTGATGTCTGAAATTTTCTGTTGTTAACTGTAAGAATAGTTTAAGATTCTTTCAAGATTTTATCGGCTGAGAATATTAGGTGATATTAAGTTAACTTCAAAAATCTTAAGAGAACTATTTTTTTACCGAAAGACATTTTCCCATTTGAATTCCTATATGAATGATGAGAATCATGATTCTGATAACCAAGATCTGAAATATGTCAATTTATATTTATATTGAACTTTTATTAGAAAATTTTCTTTCGAAATTTTCAGCAGTTTCTCGTTTATTAGGCATTGATTTTCGCATTTTATGACAAGAACAACAAATTAAAACTAATAAACCAAGCCATGCACCAATAACGAACAAGGCTAATAAGGCCAATAAATACGAGTTTTTTTTGGAATCATATCGACTAGATACAATGATTATGGATATATATTTATTTTAAATTTATTTAAGAAACATACCTTTTGATTTTTCAACTTTAATCGAATAACTTCGTTCATAATTATCTCCATATTTATTTTTTGTAAAGACACGAAAATCATGATAAAGTTCAGGTTTAAGATCAAAAAGTATAAATGCACAATTAGCTAATATATAGAAAAAGGTATTTCGAGATTTGTTTTTTTTTTAAATAAATTTATAAACCTTTTAAACGTGCATGTTCAGAATAAACACGATTTTGTTGATGTTTATACATATAACAAAAATAATCTTCATTACCTTGATGATAATCTGCGATACAAGTCATAGTTAACGTTGAATTTATATATGTATAATGACAGGATTCTATTGGATCAGGTATGCCCTAAAAAATATATTTAATTATAATTAAATAAATATTTTTCTCACCTCCTAAAACCATATTAACACAATAAATGAAGGAATAAAATGCTAACAGCATCTAAAAAAAACGAAAAAAAGATGTCAAATTATCAATGCTAATTTTATACAGAAAGTTAATCCCTATTTTTTCGATAGGTTGAGAGAGTGGGTATGGACGTGGGTCATATACATCTGCATCCACACCCATACACTCATCCGGAAAAGGATAGATTTTGCAATAAAACCTGTGCAAAGGGGATGTATTTGGAGTGCTCTATAGTCTGAATTGTTCTATTTCAGATATATATGGCGGGATATGTTACAATGATAGACCAAAAATTTCAAGCACAACTCTCTCTGCATTTCCTGCCGTTTTCTAACATATGAAGTTTTCGATCTGTAACGTTATGAACCAACATCGAGTACCTCCACTAGTAATACAACAAAATAGAATCTAATAAGATAAAATGTAATAAATTAAAATATAATAAAACAAAATGCAGCAAAATAAAATAAAATACAATCTGGGTGTGGATGTCAGAAGTAAGTTATATTTACCAACCATCATAACCCACACCCGCGTCAAAAAAGAAAAAAAATATTGTGAAAGTAGACATTTAAATATATTTAATAGTGTTTTCAAGTTTAATTAGAGCTCCATAAAAGGAAAGTTTTGTCAAAGTTCAGAATATTGAGTAAATACAATTGGTCATCCATATCATGTATAGTCATATAAGAATAACGCACTTAATAAAGTAATAAAATGTTGATGAATAAATAAGGTTTAGTTCATAAATAAGTTTTATATGTGTAAGACAACACTGACGCTGTTCGAACCTTCGTTGGCGACAACAATATCAGGTTTGTTATCGTTATTCACATCTACTACTACTACTGACTGTGGAGATGTGCCAACTGTATAAGTAGTTTGAGTCAGAAATGTGCCATTGCCAACGTTGAGAAGAACACCAATGTTGCTCGAACCATAGTTTGCGACAACAATGTCAGGTTTGTTATCGTTATTCACATCGACGACTGCTAGTCCATATGGATTTGTGCCAACTAAGTAAGTACTTTGATTAATAAATGTGCCATTGCCTGTATTGAGAAGAACAACGATGTTGTTCGCATTATATAATGTGATGACAATATCGGGTTTATTGTCGCTATTCACATCGACTATTGCTACTGCCTGCGGAGATGCGCTAAGTGAGTAAGTAGTTTGAGATGTAAATGTGCCGTTGCCGGGGTTGAGAAGAACACTGATGCTGTTCGAGCCACCGTTTGGGGTGACAACATCTGGTTTGCTATCATTATTCACATCGAATACTATTGCTGAATGTGGGTAGGAACCAACAGTGTAAGTAGTTTGAGAAAGAAATGTACCATTGCCTGTGTTGAGAAGAACGCTAAAACTGGCCGAAACATAGTTTGCGACGACAATATCGGATTTGTTATCATTATTCACATCGACTATTACCACTGATATTGGATTTGAGCCCACTGCATAAGTAGTTTGAGAAAGAAACGTACCATTGCCGGCATTGAGAAGGACACTGATATTGGCAGAACCATAGTTTACGACGGCAATATCAGGTTTATTATCGTGATTCAAATCGGCTACTGCTGCTAAGAATGGAGATGTGCCAACTGTATAAGTAGTTTGATTAAGAAATGTGCCATTGCCGGCGTTAAGAAGAACACCCACGTTGTTCGAGCCATAGTTTGCAACGATAATATCAGGTTTGTTATCGTTATTCACATCGACGACTGCCACTCCATATGGATTTGTGCCAACTAAGTAAGTAGTTTGACTGAGAAATGTACTGCTGTGATCTATTAAATACAAAAGTTCATGTTTTGCATCGATAGTGACTGCTATAGGGATAGTATTGAATCGATGCATTTTACTCGATTTTTAAGAGTTACTTCATTTGGGACTACAGGGACTGACAGGATCGTATCAGTTTGTATTAAACGATATTCGATATTTTGAGGGTGTGGGTGTGATTGTATGAGCCTCTCTTTTGCTTGCACTTGTCACATCCATGCCCTGGTATTGGCGATATAAGAGAAAGAAAAATAAGCCTTTTGGGTCGAGTCTAAATGGAGTTTTAACGATGGTAATATCTGCGAAAGTTCAGCTCGCATCTATGTGGGCTTTGTCACCAAGGGTTAAATCAACCAAAAGCACACTCTATAAAATGTAAGAGGAGAGAGAATATGATATCAGAAACGAATTCTTTTACGAATTTTCATTGGAAATGGAACTCACAAGAACACGAGAAATCGATTAATTACAAAGAATATGATTAGACTCTCCGTTATTGGAATCGAGAATAAGAAAGGGAGAAATGAAGAAGACAGCGTTCGATACACATATTTTCATTATAGATCCTTATCTAGTTTTCTGTTATCCAAAGTTTCGAAAACAGATATCGTAACGAACTACCATCAAAGACACGAACTGTCGTAGATTCGTCTAAAGCGTTTATAGACAGGAAATGTTCTCTAGATGTATATAATCATGTGGAGAACATTGAACAATTGAAGACTGAAAACTTTCGATTAGGAAACTAGAAAAAATACTTTAAATCATCTCATATATCACTGACCAGCTATTGTTGATAATGCTGTTGTTGATGTTGATAACGATGTTGATGATGTTGTTGTTGATGTCGATGATGAAGTTGATGATGTTGTTGTTGAGGTTGATGATGTTGTTGTTGATGTTGATGATGATGATGAAGTTGAGGATGATGTTGATGTTGATGACGATGTTGATGATGTTGTTGTTGATGTCGATGATGAAGTTGAGGATGTTGTTGTTGAGGTTGATGATGTTGTTGATGACGATGTTGATGATGTTGTTGTTGATGTCGATGATGAAGTTGAGGATGTTGTTGTTGAGGTTGATGATGTTGTTGATGTTGATGTTGATGATGACGATGACGATGTTGATGATGAAGTTGATGATGTTGAGGTTGATGATGTTGTTGTTGATGTCGATGATGAAGTTGCGGATGTTGATGTTGAGGTTGATGTTGATGATGTTGTTGAGGATGTTGATAACGATACTGCTGATGATGAAGCTGTTGCAGTTAATGTCGTTGTCGTTGATGGCGTGGTTGTTTCTATAGAGAAAAATAGGAGAATGTGATAAACTTGAGAAATCAGAAACATCATTTAATCTCGTTTGGTCTGTACACTCTAAAAAAAAGGAGTTTCGAACGAAACCGACCAAAAATGGGTGTTCAAGCATTTAAAAATATGCCGACTGATCACGGAAACTCTTAAAAGTTTCCAAAATCCCGAAAACGTTTTTGTAGTCCTTGAAAAGTTACTAGCGACTGTGTTCCCAATACTATTTGTAATATTATAAAAGCGACGTCGCAAATATATTTTTAGTAATATATGTTTCATTTATACTTACCAAGCGGAATCCGTGTTCCAGTCATGACAATCATAGTGATAGTATCAATATCAACCAACATGTTTCCATTCTGATTCTGAATATCATTAAACAATTCACAAGTAGAAGTGGATTGATGAAAACTAAGTGCTTTACATAGACTTCGAGTTAGACAGGCTATGTGACACTTGAGAATGTTCGGCGCGATAATAGTGATGAATGGTAAACAAGTTGTTGTAGCACATTGGAATTGCTCACCATGTAATACAGAGACTGTAAATGAGTTTATATCCTGTGTAACTGATTGTACAATAAGCATAAATAGGAGAAACAGACATGTTCTTCTTTCAGTCATCAGGTAACACAGCTTGTAGTTAGAAAAATAAATTTTAACTCACAATGAAATACACTGTAATGACGGAGCATTAAATACCGTTTCATTTTCAGTGTTTTTCTCTCACCTTTTACGCATCAAACATTTTGTTTATTCCATCAGTATGATGAAAAAGTGAGTCCTGACTTCCACCTCCTTTTTTTTGAGAGCTGTCCGATCTAATTTCATTTTGAAAAAAGGAATCTTGACTTCTACCTCCTTTTTTTTCAGAACTTTCTAATCTAATTGCATTTCGAAAATGATGAATCACTTTTGCTTGTTATTCAAAGGAAAATCAAATGTTCAGAAAGATGATTATTTTTTCTTCGTGTATATTCACTTTCAAAAAACAAAAATACGCATATTTTGAGCTTTTGGTTTATGTGGAAGATGAAAAATACATAAAGGCAACAAATTAAAAAGATTAAAGTTGAAAAGACAAAACCTAAACATTGAACTGTAAGTAAAAATAGTTTAGCGGCACAGATAAATATGTCATTGTTAACGTAAAGAGCGTTTTAGATGATTTGATAGAAATAGTTTTTTAGTATTTCATATTAACTTCAATAATTCTTTATCACAGAAAAAGATCAGACATCTTTTCCTTCTAGTAAAAACCATCAGTCTAATAATATGGTATCTTCTCTCTTTTTTCATTCTGTGTTGCTATATTATGAAATGAATTTATAAGGAGAAGTTATTTTAAAAGAAACTATGGAGACAGACAGTTTGTAAAAGGATGTACATTTGTTATAATAGAAATAATGTAAGTGCATTGTGTAATTACAAAATATATGTGTGTGTGTGTTGTGAAAAAATGATGGTAACACATAGAAACTTGATGAGATTGGAAAAACTAACAACAATGTTGATTATGTTGCTTTTCACATGATTAAGCCTTTATACTATATGATTCAAGTGCTTGTTGATAATCATCTTTATGTCGAAAAACAAGTGTGAGTGTGAATATTCTCGTCATCCCAAATTCACCTACATCTATATATTCAAACGACCTTTTCAATAATTGAATAAATATATCCGTAACGATGGGTGGATAAAAGTGTATGGGTTTTGGTGTTGTGTTCTTCTTCTTTCCACACCCACACCCACCCTCAAGATGTCGATGCTAGTGTGGTATTTATATGGTGAAATATAACAATAATAGACTGTAATAATGATTAGTCAAGATACGAAGAATGACTTTTTTTTCTTTTCTGACAAACGCACTTCAAATAGTAATCGATTCAAACAATGAGAGGAACACATATGACCATATATCAGTCGGCTGAAAATCACTTAATGAATGTAGTAACAAGGAAATATATGATCTTTTTGAAAAGAAAAGAAACATAGAGATAATAAATTAAACTTTAAGTAAAATATCGATGAATTTTTTCTACTTATTTAATTATATCTGTTTAATTTGCAAATAATTTCTCTACATTCTATTAATATAATAGTAGTCATATAATGATCAAATGTTTAAGTATCAAAAACTCTCTTTTTTTT